TGGTTTGGTGTAATTGAATCTTACATCGTATAATGCTAGATCTGAATTTTCTTAAAAGACCACACGTACTTGAAGTTGTTTGTAGCTTTGTAATCAGCTGGAAGAGTTGTACTAATATAAAATGACGTTAATTTGGAATCACTATTGAAATCAGCTTTGAAGGAACCAATTGGATCCTCTCCATTGAATATCATAATTGTGTTTGGAGAGGCTGAACCGCCCATGTAATAGCTGCCAGAAATGTCGATTGTCATGTTCTGCCCATCCATTAAAGCCTCTGGAGTTATGACCATCTCCAAATCTTTGTCTCCAAAAAAAAATTGTTTAGTTAGCAAATTATTGACAGCAGACATATATATTACACTGCATCTAGTTAGAAAAAACTAAAATATCTAACAGTTCTTATCTTTCATAAATCTATTAAAAACTATTACCTTTAATAATGAGAAGTTTCACTATGTTATTGTCTGTGTAGCACGTAAATGTTCCAGCTGCTTCTTTAACTGCAGTAAAATTCTGTTTAAATTTTGAACTCTGACCGTCTGTTGACATCCAAACATCACTTGCACAACCTTCCCGAGACCAACTTACCCATGCACCGCTGGTTGTAAACAACACATCAGGTGAAACCTCTGCCAGACATGCTGCAGAAATAAAAGTTGTTTAGGGCAAGAAAAGTTAATAAAAAAAATAATGGTTGATTTGTCAATATCATTTGGAATTAATAATTAAATACCACTTTTAAACAAAAATTGTTTTCAATGATGACTCATTGATTGACAATATTGATAATTGTGGTTTTTTTAGTTAACAGTTTAATATTTTATAAATTTTCAATGGTTTATTTTTGTGCTTAGTCTAGTCTCTAATGTCTAGTCTAGTCATCATTTAGTGGCAGTGTCCTTTAAATTTAAAAAAAATTTTTGTGTGATTTGCATATGATCTTCGCCATCTAAATTACTGTAAAAATTCATTTAATAACAAAATAGTATATATAAATATTGAATTTTATTTTAGATTTATTATGATTGCAACTTATTAATTTGTGTGGTACCTCACCTGGCAGCGGTGAGAAGCAGATAAAAATTATACAAAAAACGGACATTTTCTGACTTCAACTCAAATTTTCGACAAAAAAGTTTAACAAAAGCAAATTATTATTAATTTTATATTTAAAAAAATCCGGTTTGAACGCTAAATTTTATATAAACTTCTTCCCCATCGTTCGCGAAATAGAAAGTTATTATTCAAAAAAATTAACAGTAACTTACGTAACAAATATGAATAAATTAACTAGCGCTATACAATATCTATAATTGTGTATATTTATTCATATACATCTATAC